AGTAACTCATTATTCTTAACACTGACGTTATTGATGAATTGGAAAACATATCTTTAAAACAGATGAACATGTAGTAGCTCATTATTCTTAACACTGACGTTATTGATGAATTGGAAACATAGCTTTAAAACAGATGAACATGTAGTAGCTCATTATTCTTAACACTGACGTTATTGATGAATTGGAAATATACCTTTAAAACAGATGAACATGTAGTAGCTCATTATTCTTAACACTGACGTTATTGATGAATTGGAAATATATCTTTAAAACAGATGAACATATAGTAGCTCATTATTCTTAACACTGACGTTATTGATGAATTTTAAACATCTTTAAAACAGATGAACATATAGTAGCTCATTATTCTTAACACTGATGTTATTGATGAATTGGAAACATATCTTTAAAACAGACGAACATATAAAGATATGTTTCCAATTCATCAATAACGTCAGTGTTAAGAATAATGAGCTACTAAAACAGATGAACATATAGTAGCTCATTATTCTTAACACTGACGTTACTGATGAATTGGAAAACATATCTTTAATTAAAACAGTCAGTTACTGATAAGTGTACTATAAGCAAGAAAAAAAAGCATACTTTTTATACTTGTAAGGCACTGTGTCGCAGAAAGAAAACATTAACGTGGTATTTGTATATAATAGGCGTCGTTGGATTTGGCGTTAAGTCATAAACACAACAAAATTATGTAATCAGATACCCATTCAAATCATACTTAGTTCAACCAAATTATGTAAAAAAATATAAGCATGTGATGTTCTATCTGTGACAGAAATAAAAAATATCTTTATATTCACTAATGAGAAAGAACATTAAGACTTTTTCTTAAACTTGATGAACGATAATAAGTAACCTGAAAAAAAAATCGCAAAATTGAAGTTATCGTTAATAAAATAAAATATTCAATCTTCTTTTGCCACTCGATAGCTGAGTGTGTGGTTCAAATATAGATCTGTTTTCTCATTAGCTTTACTCATTATGCAAATCACAAACAACTGTTGCATAACATTAAAGTTTTAAACTTAGGAAATGTGTAAATTAACTTAATAAAAATATGGTTTGAAATATTATAAATTTGTTAAAAAAGTTGTTTTGATTTCACATATTATACCAAAATAATCCGTGACATCAAACTTATTACTAACGAAAAATACAGACGATGGTTTTGTAATTAAAAATCTAGCAAACATCTATAATTGGGTATTATAATTACTATTTCTAAACCGTGCGTTGAAAGAGTAAAAGACATTTTAACTAAACGTCTCTGTATTTGACTGTCAGACAACAACCAACTGAACTTTTGTGAATAAGCAACATGTACTGGATGTTTACCTTTAATTCGTTTGTGACAGTGGTGTAACATGATTTTAAGTTTTCAGAAGAACTGGAATCTGGGAAATTAATACAATTAGATAAAATCATCGAGAAAACACAACATTGAAATAGAACTTATTTTATCTATTGATTCACTTTATTTTAGTATAATATTTGTAGTTTAGTGACTATTGGTGCACTTGCAAAAAAATGACCCCGTCAGCTCAGCGGTAAGTCTGAAGGCTTATAACGCTAAAATTGGATTTCGATACCTGCGGTTGGCAGAGCACAGATAGCCCATTGTGTAGCTTTGTGCTTAACAACAAACAAACAAAACACACAGCAAAAAAGATGATAATATATAGACAACAAAACATAATTACAAATTAATTAACAAATCATATTTTCAAACATGCATAGCTTATAGCGTTAAATATGTATTGCGAAACTCCCGCCTATTCTCCAAAGATGTAGTAGATTCTCGAGAGTAAGAATCAACAATATATGTATATATGTAAACGCTTAAATGTAGTTCAGTATTGTTACGTAAAACTGAAAGTTTTAGAACACCTCCATGCGCCTATAAATATAACCAAGGCGATGCGCGCCAAAGAGAGTATCTATTAGTAGTTCGTTATAATCACTATGCTATAAACTTCGGAAGCTATAACTGTAATTGTTATAACGCTTATCAATTGGAAAACTTTAGATATTTGACCAAGAGTCTTTACAAAGTTCGAACTTTACAGATCATTTAACTTCAGTGGATTCTCATCGGACATTAGTATTTTTACGAAAAAATATAATTTTATTGTGGAGAGCTCAGTGTGTGTGGCTGGTAAATAACGAAGGTCAAAGCTAGCTAGCTTCCGTCAAGTGAATTATACCTATATCAACTCGTGATCAACTCGCTCATCGTGAACCCTCGAAAAGATATAAAGGAAGTTCCAGACTAGAAAGAAGACTTTATATTGCTTGTAAGTTTGTGAAACTTTTGTTTATAAATTATTTGTAATAACTGTTATTGTAAATTGTATTGTTGTACTAAAACGTATTTGTGTTAAAAAAGAAAACTGTGTGTATCAATCTTGTTGGCAAATATTACAAACTGACTATATATAGGCTTTTAC